GCTGAATAGTCTGACCATTCGAGTCAATGGTTCGAAAACCATGATTATCGACATACTTAATTCAAGTCCTTTCCCAACTGTTCTAATTCTCATGTATCTCATTAGAGAATAGAGACACCCTTGTTACTAGAGAGCCCTTTACATGCTAGGATACCGTTCTTAAGTACTTTGTTTGAATAGACATCTCCAACATGGTCCTTACTTGGTCTGGGTTTCAACTACCTAATTCATACCGGAACTGCAGGATTCCTTTAGGCTATGTTTAGTTTGAAGAAAAAAAAGTAGGAAAATGAAGAAAATAATAAAGAAACCTATTTTCCTATTTTTTCCTTCAAACCAAACACAACCTTATATGCTTGATACTGACAGCTAAGCTGCCACTGGTTTCAATCATAGCCCATGAAACAGACAAAATTAGAAGGGGCCCATAGAAGCCAAGAGGCCCTCGTCTAATTTCATTCTTATCCATTGGAATTTTGGCTGGATTTGGACCCTGGCCCGAAATATGAGCCTGGGACCGGTATTGGGCCTAGGTTTAACCTATCAAATATCAAGCCTAGTATTATATGTTTCACGTTATAAATTTTATATGTATATATATAATATCGAAAACACTCATAAATATTGGCGAGCAAGTCTAAAATACTGGGTTCAGGCCTAGCACTGAAATTCCCGGACACAAAACCTAAGATAAAGCCTGAAAATTTTTGGGCCGAGTGGAGAGTCAGGTTATAAATGATCACCCGGAAGCAGATCCCATAGTTGGGTTATTTAATGAGTTTTCCTGAATTATCAATGAATCTTCTATGTGACAAAGTAGGTTTGAGCTTTAGTAATTTTCTAATTTCTCTCTCCACCCCCATCCATCAATGGGAAAAAACGATTCAGACAAGAAATTTTGTGGCGTGCATTAAGGAAGACTTACTTTAGGAACACGTTTTATATTAAAAATTGACAAATCAAACGGTTAATATTAATTTATAAATAAATCAGGTAAATAATATAAATTGTGTTTGGTTGCAATAGAAATAAATTTGTACTGATGCAAAACCATAACAGTGCAAATGATTTGAGTGTAAATTCTAATCTATTTTTGTTTTAAATTTTAGTTTATTTTATTTAATTATAATACAAATTATGTAAATTAAGATATGAAACAGAATAATAAAATAAAATTAAACAAAAATTTGCATTTTTTACATTTGCACTCCTATACATTTATAGGAATGCAAATAAGTTTACACCACAACTAAACATAGCCATATGATCATCAGCATCTCTCGAAACATGGAGTACCCTTTTCTTTTGTCTTTTGGTACATTGGAACACCTTTTTTCTGCAAGTTCTCAATGGTAAGGTCAGTGGACCTCACGTTGTAACACCGAAAAGTTGACTTCCCAAACTCTCACCAATCGTCATTTTATAAATGTTGGTATAATTATAAAAACATACCCTCTGCAAATGACTCCTATACCATGCATATATAGAATATTGCCTCATTTGATATAGATCTACATCTATCTTATACCATAAATTTGAAACATTTGGCTTTGTATGGTATAAGATGCATTGTAATATATATTGGCTTATGCAACTCTTTTTATCCTCATGATTATGATTATATAAATTTGATATTTTTTATTTTTTTCTTAAGGTTTTTGTCATGGTTTTCAAAATCGAATTGGATCAGATGGTCAGATCAGAAAAATCAGAAACTGATTAGGTGACCGATTCCATTTTATCCCAGAACTTTTATCTTGCCAAAAATTATTGATTTAGTCAGCACTCCAACCATCCAACATTTTGACCGTTTTTTATTTTTTTTTGTCATAGCTGGTTATCTGTTCGATTTAAACGATTGGATCATTTAACCTGAGAACCAAACTTCGGTTTGATTTTAAAATTCTTGGTTTTTTCTTTGTTTTATGTTAGTGTAATGAAGACAAAACAATGTGGGGCCAATAACCTGTCCGATGTCCCATTGTGAAGGATGGATCTCACCACGGAGATTAAAAAAAAAAAGCTTCAAACATGATTGCAAGTTTTAGTGCTTACATTTAGATGGCTGGATGGTTGAAAAGCTATACAATGAAACGGAGTGGCCCATGTCCACACCCATGACATTTAGCAAATAGATTTGATCCCAAGTATCTACAGGAATGAACCAGAAATCCTAACAACTGAGCCACTCATCAGTTGGAGATCCAACCATCATCGGATTGAAGTGGTTATGAGTTGGATTGGGTTAAAGCTGCAACATGGGTAGATCCAATGGGAGCCTAACCCGACCCAGTTGAGCTTTTAGATAAATTGACCCTGGATCAGAAGATTTAGATCTGATCTTAATTTCGATTGGGCTTGACTGAGGCTTTGGGAGCTTGAACCCACCCCGAATAAGTGCATATACATATACATACATGCATTTCTCTCAAAACTGACTATTCCCAACCTGAATTGCATTGGGTTAGTGGTTAGTGTCAGATTCAACCTATGTTCCTTAACTCGAGCTGGACCTTGGATTGAACCTGGTCCAAGATCGAGGTTTATATCTTAGAATTGAACCTGGATCGACCCTTATCCTGACTTAACCTGGCCCAATAAGTATTTGCTTTATCTAGTGTTAAGGCTTCATTTGGAAAGAATATTAATGCAAATATGTAAAATGTAAAGTCTTATATTTTGTATTATTTGGTATGTATTTATATTATATATTTGAACTCTTTTCAAACTAAGCCTAATGTAATTAATAATCATAAAAATATAAATATTAATCATATATCATAGAATTTGAAGGATTTAACTTTTATTAATTATATGGAATTCAAGTTCACTTCATATAATATTATAAATATATGTATTAGAAAATATAAGCTGAAATTTAAATTTAACTTTTATGATCTATACTGCTTTTGTAATAGTATATAGATAGATGAAAAGAAAAAAAAAAAATCTTTCACATGAATTAGTAAAATGGCTTTGTCAAAATGAGCTCTTGAGTCTTGAACATTGTATGATGATTTCTGCATTACTTAGATAGAAAGGCACATCATGATTTTGTGCCACCTGTCCATAACATATGTCAGCTTTTAAAAAAGAAAATTACTAAAAGCCACTTGTATTTTTTTACAAATAAACTCCTTTGGCAACTTTATCCTTAGGGCTACCCTCAAGAATAATAGATAAAAATATAGATTCAATAAAAAGAGTCCAACTATGGTGTATTTCGAAACTTTTACATTAAATGTATCGCTTTATCTAGTAGTTTGGATTATATTATAGTAATTTTCATAGAATACACCAATATTCAGTCATCACAAAGAACTTTATAGTTTATTCAATTGCTCTAAAAGGTACAGAGTTCTCATAAATGTAGATTGTTTTAATTGACCCTTAAGCAACTTGCTTGACCCGGCCGGTTCCCAGTTGACTCGGGCATTTTAACAATCTTGGATACAAATTGTGACCCTTTATCAATTCAATTTGATAGCTGTAGACAAAACACTATAGACAACCAAATCTACAATGCTACCTTTTATAAAGCGATATTTTGCTTAAGACTCCCTCCTTGAGGAATCCAGCCTTCTCTAAGACCCTTTGAGAAGCTTTGTCTCTACATCAGCCATAGCTTGAACTCTCACCAGCTGAGGGAAATCTCTGAACACAGAATTGAGGGCCATCTTCACAGCTATGGTGGCTATCCCCTGACCCCAGTATTTGGACGCTATCTCATACCCCATGTCAGCTCTAAATTGGTCACCGCCGGACGCCGGAACGACTGAAATGAATCCAATTGAGTAGCCATCTAAGCATTTGGAGCGACGCCAGGGGTGGTGGAGGCAATCCTTCTCGATGTAGTTTAAAGCATCCTGTGTTGATGTGAAGGTGTTTCATCGGCTAAATCTCATGCCCTTGTCGTCTCCTGCCCACACCATGACGTCGTCGGCGTCGGAAAGTTGAAATGGTCGGGGGGAGATTCTCGATGGGTTCATCTCGGTTTCCCTCCTGACAAGAATGAGGAAGGTGATGGCCAGGTCATAATGACATTTGCAAACTTGTCGGTCAATGCTTAGCACATGGTTTGAGCTTCTGTATATACAGTGCAAAATTATTATATGGGTCCTCGTCTCTGTTTTCAAAGTCTTGTATATGCAGATATAGATGGGGCCTCCTGATCCACTAGAAAACATTAATTTGGGCACAATCTGAGACATTTCATGAGATATTTGTCAAATGGAGGCGTTTTTACTTATAAATAGAATATTTTTGGTTGCGTAATTGGTTGGGATTTTGACTCGAAAAAAATCAATAAAGAAATACATGGGTGATCATCAATCCAGATTATTCCAGACCCCACTGCCCACTGACTCAACCTAGTTTTGGACTTCTTGGGTGAGGTGGTTTTGGGTTTAAATGCATCTGAATGATGAACATTTAATTACTGATTTAAAAATTAAAAGTGGGTAGCAAACCCATTTTTTCTATTTGGCTCAACTGGAATCCTTTTCAAGTTTCAACTTTCAATCCATTTCAGATTGGATTCAGGTTGATAAAACTTGGATTGGATCTGAGAATAGCCATGTTTTTAGGGTTTCTGATTCAGATTAGATTGGTATAAAGCCATCTCAAACTGATCCCAATTTATCCTCCAAACAAGGTTTCTGGTCTTCCAAAAAACTGACATAAAGCTGCTTCCTCTTTGTCTTTGGCTTTTGTAACTAAGGCAATAGGCAAATATTAGGTGCATTTGGATTTGGTTGCAGTGAAAAATTTAACTAGAAACAGATTTTACACTGGTTTAGCTTTGCATTTACTTATTTGTAACTATGATTTGCACTACTACTTGATAACAAATTTTACTTTTCGTCTCCGTTGCACTTTCTATGCAAATTTTGCGTCTCAAAAACTGATGCAAAATTTGCACCATGCATCTTCCTCATGCCTCATTTCTCTCTTATTTAAAGTGGGGATCATATAATCTTGCTTCTTACCTTACTCCCAAATAAACAACCCTCCTACCTCCATTCTATTACATATAAGGTGAGACTGTACCATCTTACTTTTCTCAAACAAACAACACGATCAAATCTAAAGCAAAAAGTAAATCAGAACTCAGCCTATTTGCATTCCCATATACCATTGCAAATGAAATTTGCTCTGCAACCAAATACAGCCCTAGTTTCAATTAACTCACCAATTTGTCTCTTAAAATTATCATCAATTGATTAAGGTTTCAGTACATATGAAACTGTAGATAACCAAATCATTGATCTTCCCTTTTAGAAAGCCATACTTCCTCAAAACACCCTCCTTGGTGAACCCAGCTTTCTCTAAAACTCTCTGAGAAGCCCTGTTTTCCACGTTAGTCATAGCTTGCAGCCTCACCAAGTGTGGAATATCTTTGAATACACAGCCAAGAGCCATTTTCACAGCTATGGTAGCAATCCCTTGACCCCAGTACTTGGCAGCTAGAGCATATCCCATGTCAGCCCTGTGTATGTCGTCGCCGGAAGCTGGCATGACAGAAATGAAGCCAACCGAACGGTCATCAAGACATATCGATCGACGCCAAGGGTGGGGAATGCAAACATCCTTGATGTAGTTCAAAGCATCTTCCCTAGAGGTAAAGGTCTTCCATCTGAGATGCTTAGTCACCTGATCATCGCCGGCCCAGACCATAAAATCATCAACGTCGGAGAGTTTAAACGGTCGGAGGGAGATTCTTGAAGGATCCATCTCGACTTTTTTTTTTTCAACAGCAGCCACAACAACAGGAACAAAGATGACAATAATAACAAGAAGTATGGTTGTTTTGAGTCAATGCTTGAGCATTTTATAGCAACTAAATTAATGGCATTGGCCTTACCTACTATTACAAAGGAATGAGGCATTAATCATGAAATTCATCCTTAATTTAGTCTTAGAAAAATACCTCTTAGGGATCATGGATCCTCCTTAAACAAATGTGGGTACCGATGCTTTATTTTGTGTTATTTTGTTTTCGTTTTTAGCAGGGTGAAGCCGCCTTTGTTGAATGCTACAGGGATGTTAACAGGTCGGTTTTGGTACTGATTTGGTTCAACCCTGAACCCAATTTGAAAGCGTGAGAACCCGAAACCTGACCCAACCCGGCAAAATGGAGAGGTCTTGCAGAAGCAGTAGAACCCAACCCTGACAAATCCTATATATAATACATCTATGCTCAGACAAGCTTACATATATAAGGGTCCATTTGGTTCACAAGAATAGGGGTCTGGTCCATCTGGAATTGGAATGAGCCATTTCGATTCCAACTGTTTGGTTGGAAAGAATCAGAATCCCATTCTCATTTTTTATGGAATGACATTCTTTCATTTGAGGTCCCCTCTCTTGAGAATGAAATCCCATTCCAGTTAAACTATGGGAATAAACCAATTCGATTTTAATTTTGAGAGATTTTGATTTCAAATTCGATTTTAATTCTGACTATGAACCAAATGGATCTTAAATATTTTAATGTTGTAGTGTCAATGGGTCAATTTAACATGGGTACTTCAAGCAGATAGGGACAACCTTTTGCCCTTAATATCAATAAAAAATAATATTTTTATATAATAACCACAATAGGATAGCTTTCTTGGAAAAATATCAAGAAAGGGCAGTGAACACTATTGCTAGTCTTTCACCTCTGCCTCTGTATTCATGCAAATGGATCATAAGATTCCAGCCAAGTAATAACCGGAAATGCTCTTCACATCCCAGAAAGCAAACCGGCGGCCACATTCGAGGCTTTGGCTTGTTTGGTGATCTCCGCCGAGGTGTACACGGGATTCACTGTTGTGTTGGTAGCACTGCAGTAAGACATGTCGAGGAAGGCGAAGACGAACTCAGGTGAGTTGGGCAATAGAAGCATGATCACTTGACTTGTAAATGAATTCCTTTTGCTTCATTGCAGTGTCCACCAAAGCAGCTGGAGCCATTATAGTTATAGAAATAAGTTTTACACAAGGGGGGGGGGGAGAGAGAGAGAGAGAGTTTGGGTTTGAGGTTGACTGGGATCCTGAGGTTGTTGACGTCACTTTGACTATAGAAGCAAGAAGACATTCCATTATGCCACCTATGATTTTACCTAACATGATTTCTCCTAAGGATCCGGTCATAGTTGCCACCGATGACCTTAACATACCATGGTAGTTTAGATGGACATGGTGATCAAGAAACCATTTTCCATTCGCATGAATACAAAGGTAGAGGAGGAAGACGAGCAACAATATCCACTACCCTTTCTTGATATTTTTTTTTCCAAAAAAGCTATTTCATTTTAATTATTATATAAAAATATTATTTTTTATTAATATTAAGGACAAAAAGTTGTCCTTATCTGTTAGAAATCCTTAAATCTAACCCAACCCTAATCCTATATGTTAGGACTAGTGAGGGTTTACCACTTAATCCAACCCACTGACAGCACCAAAGGTGCCATTCCATCATTTGAGTGAGAGTCATGCCGATGGCTGAACTGAACTGACCTTATTGCTCCTATATAAATCATTCATATTTTTGTCATTTATTGGATTCTGGGGCATTGTTACAAGACAGGGGGACATTTATATGTCCTGGACTTCAGTTGAATATAAGCCCAAGATTTGCCCAAGTCAATGCCCCAAGCAAGCCAATTGTTGGTCCGGATGGTTAAGAATCCCTTCAAACTAGTGGATTGTAGGTGATAGTTTCTTACCCAATCAACCTCTAGATTAAGGCAATTGAACAGTTGTTCCCACTTCCCTGAATCTTTGGGCAAGAGAGTATAAACTGGCTATCCTTGTTGGGTGTTTGACCTAGGCAAGGCTGGGTAGCTGTCTAAAAGCCCGTTTGGGAGGGCTTTTGTGTTGATTGAGCCACTTAGGAGAAGCCACTTAAGAATTAAGATAACTTCTCCAAAAGTCAATTTTTTGGTCCACTTTCAGTTTTTATCAAATATTGCTTCGTAGCTTTTTGGATTTCTCAGTTCATGTAATGCCAAACAAGCACTAAAAGCAAATATACTTGAAAGTTGGAAGCTGGCCCAAGCATGAAACAAGGCCGAATCTAACAGTTCAGGTACTAATGGTCCAAACTAAGCCCATCCAATTCGGCCCGTGTCACTAACAGTTCCTATAAAGTGGATAAAGGTAGGGAAAGGTAGGAAACCTATATACATTTTTCCTTCGAACCAAACACAGCATAAAGTAGTGAAGCGTAATTCGCAAGACAGAAGGCGCGGTATCCAACCGTCCAACGGACAAACAGTTGCCTATTGAGTGGATCCAAAGGACGGGAATCGGGCTTCCAATGGTTTCTTGCTTCTTCCTTACCTCCTCATCTCCTGGAAGAGCTGAGCTAGTGGACAGTTATTAGTAGGACCCACCATCTCCTTCCTGGTCCTGAGAGCCCCCATCTGGTGTGGTAACGAATCAACCAGTCGTTCTATTCATTGCTCTATATAAAGAAGAGAAAATCAGAAAAACAAAGGGTTTGTTCGTTTTTCACCAATTCCTCTCTCTGTTACTTCCGCTCTTCCGTAATCAGTGGTGGTGGCAGGAAACAACTGTCTATCTAGGTACTGATCTATCTATTCCTTCGACTTGCATTTGTAGATGACTTTAATTGGCTTTCTCTTTTTATCATATTTTTATTTATTTCCCCAATTTAGTTTTTGTGAGTACTTTGTTAATTAATACTGGAATAACTCGAAAACAAGTGGCTCCTTGTTCACCAATAAAGGAGGGATGGCAATTCGACATAAACCTGAACTGTTATTTTCCTTTGGTTGTATGTCTTGGGTGATGCTCACAGCTCTCTAGGAGATTAAAAATCACCTTTTTTCTATGGCAATGCCGATAACACCTGGTGGTGCAGCAAGGTTGTCACTTCCTACAGTCTATAGGAGACTTTAGTAATTCTTATGAGGGTAGAGTTTCCGCTATCCACCTAGTACACAAATAACTATTTCTATATCTATGTCTATGGTACATATAGCCATATTTTTGCCTTTATCTGCTTCAAGGAATTCTGGATATTCTTATATGATGTGGATGATTTTGCACAATCTCCTCAGTCTCAAGGTTTCATTTCTTTGGGCATTATTTCATCCAAAGATGATGTACTTATGCTAGGTTTTATTTGTGATAAACTGATAACTTGAACTTTGGTGCAGAGGTTTTTCCGTTGGTTTAGTAGACACCTGTATTTTGAATTTTTGATAGTGTTCCTTTTATGAGTTAAGTTTGAAATAACGTTTTAAGTCTACTGATCCTTGCTACGTTTCAGAGAACTAAAAGATTGCACTCACCTGAATTGAGTGATAGCAAAAGATATCAATAGAATATTCACGAGAGATAAAAGATAAACTGACTTTTGTTTTAACCCCAATTTTTATCTCAACTGACAATTGTAATTCTAACCTAACCTCCCTGTTCAAATTGATATGGTGTATCCTATATGCATTATAACAATGCTATCCTTGCATCCCTGTTCAAACTTATGTCTGATGAAAGATCTGCAGAAGTTTTCTGATCCGACCAATGGAATATTTTCGAGAAAAGAGTTGTGCTAGGGATCCACCAGAAAAGATCTGTGCCATGATACCAAAGTGCTGGTGCTCAAGTGGATAAGTTACTGCCTGTACAATCTTGATGAAGTGTTTCTAAGAGAACATACTATTAACAACTTGATTCTGCTTCCATGTTTACCTCAATGGGGTTAAGAATTGCCTCTTTAGGCTAGAAACATAGGCTTTTGTAAACCTGCAAATAGCTTTTCATAACCATAGATTATCCAAATCAATTGGAAATCTCCATAACCGTTTACTTAAGAATGTTGAGTTCCTTTCCCTCAATCCACCCATACCTAGACCCCCCTGAGCACAGTTCTCCAATCCAACATATGATCCCTCTTAGATTCTCTATGCTCCCATAAGAAGTCACTCATGATCTTCTCGAACCTTTTGAATACTACAACTGTCATCTTGAAAATTGAAGGATTGTAGGCCAGATAAGATTGAATTGATTAAGGTAATCCTACCTCCCAAGGAGACATTCTCCCTTCCAAGTGGTTAATTTATTTTGCACATCTTTCTATGATGGGACCCCAGAAGCTGCTACACTAGGTTGCCTCCTAATGGGAGTGCTAGATATTTCATTGGGCACCTAGTAGTTGAACACCCCAAAGTTGCAGCAAATTTACCTATCTCTTCTTAACTCAAATTTATTCTTTTAAAGCAACTCTTATCAATAGTTGTCTAGTAAGACTGCAATCAGTCTTAGTTTAGATCTGGATTAAACAAGAAATAATGCAGAGAATAAAAGAAGAAGAAGAGAAGAAGAGGAGAAGAAGAAGAGAGAACATGAAGAGGAGAAAAGATTCAGAGAAGAGTGTGGGTCATAACTGAGATTGTCACCCCACTCGACTATTTATATTAATGATTTAAAACAAGGTAAAAAACCAGTATTACCCCTACTGCTTACATAAGCTATAAATAACAGAAAATAACTACCAACTAATCCAGCTAACATGCTAACAACAATATAAATAGACATGCAACAATGGGGACCACATTATTGTTCTACATCTCTACACTCCCCTCAATTTGGGAGTAGATATTATTCATTCCCAACTTGCATAAGTCGGTCTCTAGTTTGGTCTTTGTAACCGCCTTAGTGAAGAGATCTGCAAGCTGCATATTGGAGGTGATATATGGAAGACATGCTTCTTAGGAAGCAACTCTCTCTTTGATAAAGTGTCGATCCGCTTCAATATGCTTAGTCTTGTCATGTTGTATTAGATTATGGGCAATGTTAGTAGCTGCCTGATTATCACAATTCAACATCAAGGGCTTCTCATAAGCAACACCTAGATTCTCAAATAGAGATCTCAACCATAACAGTTCATCCACACCATTTGCCATGGATCTGTATTCAGTTTCAGCACTTTAGTGAGCAATAACATTTTGTTTTTTACTTCTCCAAGAGACAATATTTCTTCCTACAAAAGCACAATACCAAGAGGTAGATCTCCTATTATCAACACACTCAGCCCAATTAGCATCTTTGTAAACTTCTATTTTCATGTTTCCATTATCTTTGAAGAGTATACCTCTGTCTGGACATCTCTTCAAATAAGCCAATATCCTTTCAACTGCAGAGTAGGTGAGTGGTTCTGGGGGAATGCATATACTGGCTAACAACATTGATTGCATAAGAAATGTCTAGTTATGTGAGGCAAAGATAGAGTAGTTTCCCAACCAACTATTGAAACATAACTTTATCTTTTAGTGGCTCTCCATCTTCTGCACTGATCTTATGATTTTGTTCAATAGGTGTGCCAGCAGGTTTAACACCTAGCTTCCTAGTTTCTTCCAAAAGATCAAGAACATATTTCCTTTGGGAAACAAAAATCCCATGTTTAGACCGTGCTACTTCAATGCCCAAAATATTCCCAAGTCTTTTGACCTCAAATTCTTGATGAAGTAGCTCCTTAAGAGAGTCAATCTCATAGGTATCACTCTTTGTCACTACAATATCATCCACATATACAGCAAGTAGAGTTAAGGAGGAATCCATTTTCTTAATAAAAGGGTGTGACCTGATTGGGCTTGCACATAACCGAATTTTTCAAGGTCCTATCTAAATCTATCAAACCAGGCTCTGGGAGACTACTTCAGTCCATTTAAGGCCTTATTAAGTCGATGGACCTTTTGCCCTGCTTCTACACTATAGAATTCAGGAGGTAACTCCATGTATACCTCTTCTTGCAAATCACCATTGAGGAAGGTGTTTTTAACATCCATCTGAAACAATGGCCATAAGAAATTGGATGCAATGGATAGTAAAACTTTCATGGTGTTCATCTTTGTTACTGGTGCAAAAGTCTCCAAATAGTCTATGCCATATGTCTATGTAACCCCTTTGCAACTAATTTGACCTTATACCTTTCAATGGAACCGTCAACATTATATTTCACTATAAACACTCATCTACACCGAACTGGTTTCTTCCCTTTAGGCTAATCAACTAACTCCCATGTATTGTTTTTTAGAAGAGCATCCATTTTTACCTTCATTGAAGGGGATTCAGAGGTGGTGTTAGGGTGGTTGAATAAAGAAAATAGCAGTCTATGGATGTACAGTAATGAGAGGAGAAAGTTTAGGTGGCTGGTTCAGGAGATGGAAGTTAAGGTTAGCTGGGTGAATATGTTAGCTAACTCCTTTGCGGATGGATTAGCTAAGCAAGGAGTTGTGAGGGAATCAATGTTTTGGGCACAAGTATAATTTTTCCTTTTTGTTCTTGGAATGGAAATAGCAGCAATAGATGCCAAAAATGACTTGTAGGATGGAGACAAATGATCATAAGATAGAAACTGGGAAATACAATGAGCTGTAGATGAGGTGCAATGGCGCTTCCCTTACGGACTGCAATTGGAAGATCAAGATCATCCAATGGAGAAGGAAAAGGCTCAACAATGGAAGGTATTTCATCTATAGTGGGGGATAAAGGAACTATGGTACTTGGATCTGGAGCCATAGAGGAAATTGGAGTTGACCTGGACTGCTGATGACCGAAATCAACTTGCCTCCACCGCTTGTGATACACCCTTAAATCTTGACACCTTTGATAACCCTCCTCACTACACTCACCTTCAGTGATTGGGATAGGTAATAGAATTTTTGATGAATGAGGCCCCATCTCACTACTTTTCCCTTGAAATGAAACTCTAGGATAATAGGGTACATCCTCAAAGAATATGACATCCATAGAAATAAATAATTTCCCAGAGATAGGTTCATAGCAGCAATATCCCTTTTGAGTTTGCACATACCCAAGGAAAATGCATTTTGAGACTTTAGGATCAAATTTGGAATGATGAGGCCTAAGGATCTGAACAAAGAAAGTACATCCAAAAGTCTTAAGGAGAATAGTAAGCATCTCCTTATCAAGATATAATAGGGTAAATGGAACTTTCATGTCTAGGACCCATGAAGGAACTCGGTTGATGAGATACATAGCTGTATGAATAACATCTCCCCAAAAATGTATAGGTACATTGGAGTTGAGCATAATGCTTCTAGCCACCTCCAATATATGCCTATTCTTCCTCTCAGCAACCCCATTTTGCTGAGGTGTATGCGAACAGGTGCTCTGATGAATGACTCCATGGTCAAGGAAATATGAAGCCAATGGTTTTGCAAAACACTCTTTAGCATTGACGGATCTGAAAATTTTGATTTTGTCCCCAAATTAGGTCAAAACCATCTGATAGAAGATCCAAGTGAAGGTAGGAACCTCATCTTGAGAACGCATAAGGTAAACCCATGAAAAGCGTGTATAGTCATCAACAAACAACAAGAAATATTTGTATCCCCCCCATAGTAGTGATGCGATATGGTCCCCAAACATCAATATGCACAATTTCAAAAGGAGTGCTACTTCTTTTATTGCTCAAAGAATATGTTGTTCTACAATACTTTGCAAGTTCACAACTTTCACATTTTAAACTAGACATCTGGACTGACTCAAACAAGCTGGGAAATAAACTCTTCAAAGACCTAAACGAAAAATGACCTAGTCGATTATGCCAAAGCATAACTTGACTCATAGACTGAGAAACAAAGCCTCCCAACTTCTCTATCTTCCCCATGTGAATTCCCTCCAAATAGGTAGAATCCATTCATCTCACGGCCAATCCCAATTACCTTCCCCGTCTCCAGATCCTGAAAAACACATCGATCAAGAAAGAAATCACTGAATAGTTTTGACTTTTTGTGACACTACTAATTGAAAATAGGTTAGTACTAAGTTTAGGAACATGCAACTCAGACATGGAGATGGCATTAGACAATTTAATGTCTCCCTTGTGGCCTTGGTAGAAATTGGAACAAAGGAGCCATCAACAATAGACACTTTGTGTTTGCCAAAGGATAAACAATAAGTAATAAACAGTGAGGACAAGCCAGTCATGTGGTCAGATGCACCTGAATCTATAACCCAACAAGGTTTATTGTTACCTGGGGCTATGGCATGATATGCTGAAGCCCTTATACCTAAATGAACAAATGCTGAAGTGGGAGTAGTAGATGTTGTAACTGGTGGTTGAGATGAGGATGCTGAAGTGCCAACTTCACTTTCCAACTGAGTCAGAGTTGCTCAGAAAACAGCCAAAGTGTCTAGGGATGTGGCTCTTGTGCTAGATGATGGTGCACCATCAGTAGTGATAGCCACACTGACATTCCCCTTTTTGTTTTTAAGCTTTGCTGGAATTAGATGTGGATATAACTTCCAACATGTGTCTTTGGTATGCTTCGGTTTCTTGCAATGTTCACATACTAACTCCCTCTTATCCTCCTCCTTCATATCCCTTTCCTTGTCATCCCCAAACTTTGGTTTCACTACTGCTAAAACTGATTCCATAGGTTGATATTGCAACATAACTTTTCTCCTACTTTCCTCACTGTGTACTAAAGAATATGATTGAGACATGGTCACACTTTCTCTGGTAAGGAGTTGTTGCCTCACAATATCATATTCTAAATTCAGACTAGCTAGGAATTCTAAAACCCTATTGGTCTCAACCTGTTTTCTGTAAGTTTGTGCATTCCTCTGACTTTTGTCTAGTAAGACTGCAATCAGTCTTAGTTTAGATCTGAATTAAACAAGAAATAATGCAGAGAATAAAAGAAGAAGAAGAGAAGAAGAGGAGAAGAAGAAGAGAGAACACGAAGAGAAAAGATTCAGAGAAGAGTGTGGGTCATAACTGTGATTGTCGCCCCATTCAACTATTTATATTAATGATTTAAAACAAGGTAAAAGACCAGTATTACCCCTACTGCTTACATAAGCTATAAATAACAGAAAATAACTACCAACTAATCCATCTAACATACTAACAGCAATATAAATAGACATGCAGCATTGGGAACCACATTCTTGTTCTACATCTCTACAAAGATTAACCTTCAAATTTTCTGATGATACAGTGTTGTTTACTGAGAATGTGGGGTTAGAATGGGCAAAAAATCTACATTCTCTAAAAGACAAAGCAATAACTCATCAAGTTCATCTATTTCAGCTGTTATCAAATGACACAATTTAGAAAGGAATTTGGGGTGGGGTGAATGGAAGTTTATGAAATGGAGTTTTAAAATCTGTAGGTCTATGATGTCTTCTTTACATTTTCAGAAAATCACAACCATGCTTATATAATTTACTCTTGCTTTCATTCTTCACCTCATAGACTGTTTATTTCTTCTAATATGTACTTCGTTTCTTTTATTTTTAACATTCTTTTTTTTTTCTGTGGTACTTTCTGGCAGCAGGGGTACTGGGTAAATCATTTGGTTAACCTATGCTGACCTTTGAATCTACAACATACTGTTCCTTTTCTATTGTATGTCTCTTCTTTATACATACAATCTCTCTGCATTATTTGTTAATTACTACTACCACTTCACTTGAGTTGTATGGCAAACCCATTTTCATGTTCTAGAATAATTTCATATGTTCATTAACAGAACTTTGGTTCTCATTTTGGGAAATTCTATAAATAGCATTTCTCAAAGGAAATTTGGCTGGTTTGGGGGCATTGCTTGGTGTGATGGTAAAATCTTGGTATGATAAGCATAAAAGTGCAGGTCTGAGTCTGAGAGTGGCCATTTCATACAAAACACACAAGAGGTTATGTCTATATCTACTGCTGCACTCCTAAGACCCCTGGATGCCAGGGACATGCATTTGGTAATAGGTTTTTTTAAATATAATTTGGTTATCATTTTTATTTATTATATAATTTATTAAAATACACAATAATCCCATACATGTAATAAAATACAGATGCAATGATAAATATAAATGTAGTATATGATTTTGTTCTTTTTTGATTTTTTTTTCTTTTTCCTTATAAATTCTTAATAAGTTGGTTAAATTGAGTTACTAGAATATAACTAGTAAACATGTATGTGCATTTGCACGTGACAGTATCTCCAAGACAAAACTATTTACAATTCATGGAAGTTTTTGAACAGTTATAAGCAATCAGTTTTTTAACTGTTGTAAGTGGACAGTTTTTGAATAATTATAAGTGGGCAGTTTTTGGAGTGAGAGTAAAGGACATATATGCCCTTTTTTATGTCCGTTGTATGTTGCTTAGACAAGGGGTAAAAATGTCTAATGAAAAGTCCAAATAATGGGGCTATTCGCTCTTTTATTAGTAGTATAGATATATTTGTCAGCCTCATTAATTCCCAAACTTCTAAAGTAGTGGTATTATCTTACCTTTAGTTTATCCTAATTTAATATGATTTTGTTTGAGTAAATAATGATAGAAAAACTTTATTAAAAACAATCAAACTAGATAAAAAAAGTTCAACTAGTCCTTCGAAAGCAAAAGGATCCACTTCAGGCCTTACAACAACAGGACAAAAACAATAGACTCAAAAGCCAAGTGAGGTACATCAGACAAGCCCAAGAAACTCACAAGGCCTATGAGTTTTCAGATCTTTGAAACGATCTGAGCAAGATGTTCATTTTTGCAAGCAAAGTGCTAGATTCCTGAATGTGGTGCCACAAGAACCAACCGGTCCGGGGCAAAAGAAAAATCCCCGAACCTGACCCGTTCCCATTTATGATTGGAGAAAATCTGCCCTGTTCGGGGCGGGTCGGATTGGGTACTTGGTTTTGTGGGGAAATTTGCCATCTCTAGTGACAAGGCACCCTTGGAGGCTTGCCTCGCTCAGTCGCCAAGCAGTTTTGTGCACTGTGTTATAAAATACTTTTTTGTATTTTTAGTTTTTTGACATTATAATTATAAAATAGACATTATTAAACTAGAATATTCATTTTATGTGTTTATATACTAGTTTCTTTTTATTATTTTCTTATTTGTTAGGGTTTAATCAACACAAACATTGCTAACTATTGTTCAAAGTATTGATACACCTCTGTGTATTGGTACTTATAACGATACTCCCCCCTTTTTTTATTTCTTTGGTTTTCAATTTCATTTTTAAGTATATATAATTTAAAAAATGGGTCCCCAAAGATACAATACTGAAGGGATGAGAAATCCATCGTATGGATGCCCAAATCTTGCGGAATAAGGTGGGCGAATTTCAAGGATCAATCTTGAACCATAAACTGAACCAGATCTGAACAAAAGCAGTGGGAGAGGATTATACCTGATACGGAGAAATAATATCTCCCAACGAAGGTGTTCACACCCAAGGAAGGATCCAAAGATTGTTCCCACTGAAGACAGTGTAGGATGGAGCAGAATCAGCAGTGTTCTTCTCCAAGAATCTAGTCCTTCGCAAGAAATAGCAGGATGGCACGTGAGCACAGCTTCCTATCAGTCCCTTCACAAGGAACTGATATCAAGATCGAATCTTGATTTCTCCCACTGAAAAGGAGGTCGAACTGGCAGGTGAGGCGGCGGCAGGAAGGAGGCGGCAAGAGAGAATTTTCGCAGGTATGCTCAATTCTCTCTTCTGTGATTTCAGCTCTAAAGACTTGTAGTGATCTGATGATCTTGTGATGATCTAAAGGCTGTCGCCCCTTCCTTGTAGCCTTAAAGGATCAGCTCCTAATCCCATTAGGAGTTGTTGATCCAAATCATATTTGGATCAGACATCCCTTTAGGTGATAAGGATAAACCCTTATCTTATCTGCAGATTAGATCAGCCTTCTCCTAATCTCATTAGGAGGTTTCCAGATCTAAATCACATTCAGATCTGGATTCTCTGAGTGGATAGGGTTAAGACCCTATCATATCTGCTAATCCATCCCAGAATTCGCCCCAAATTTAACTAATTAAAATAGCCCAGTTCGAAATGGGCTTTAGGCCCATTAAGGTCATGTGCTCACTTATCCTTTCTAACTGCTGCCCAGTTGGGCTTCCTCGTATGGCGTGGGACCCAAGCATTGATCTATACATCAGCCACATGGATTCGGCTCAGCCTTTGTTATAAGGCCTGGCCGAATACACTGTTATGGATAGTGCACCCCTGAAACCCATCA